TTTGCACGTGGCATTTAGAAGGACAAGGGTGACCTACAGAAAGCGATTTCACTGGTGTGGTGGGAGCAGAAGCAAGACTAGAGTGGACTGAAGGAACAGGAGAAAGGAATGTAGCCTATCTTTCTAGAAGCTGACTGTGCAGTGCAAGCTGGAAGAGAGAAGAGGGCCGCGTTCGAGGCCGAGTGGAAGTGGCTGCAGTGGGCAGAGAGCTTGCGATACTGATGGTGGCAGGATGGCCGCGGTCCCCAGGTCCAGGGTGTGGGGTGTTTATTCTTAGGCACTTGCTATTATCTGATACTGTTGCAGTGGTGTCTTCTCTTTAATTTCGTCTGTGAGTTGTAGAGTAGAGAGGTCTTTGTAATCATTGCAATCATTGGAAACCCCGTTAGACAGTTGGAATCAAAGTAGCTTGAGTGGGGACTCAAGCTTTAAGGACTGCTGGGAACCTCGTCCTTGGCTTTTTAAAACCCAAAGGGTTCTGAAGATGAGGTAGACGGGGGTATACGATGTGTGTGGGTTAGGGAGACTCAGGGGCCCCGGATCGAGTCTCCCTGGACCCAGATTAGGAACCAACTCTTTCTGCGACCTCTCGATGTGGACACTACCCTCTACTCTCTCAGTCCTGTCGTTCTGTCCATCCCCAGAGACTGCCCTCCCCTGCCTGCCCTGTCAGCTGCCGCTTCCTCTACTTCCCCTTCCTCCCCCCCCTTCTCCTCCTTCTTGACAATTTTTTCTCGAATGTGTCCAGTTTAAGGTTCTCTCTTTTAACTAACCTGAACTTATGCCTGTACACCTCAGTAAACCGAATCTTTTCTCTAGGTTTCCTCCTCTGCCTCAGGAGCTCATAGCTATTTTTGTATCACGGGCCCCTTTGAAGCCCACGACTCCTGCTCAGAATAATGTTTTTAAATGTATACAATAAAATGTGTAAGATTACAAAGGAAATCAATTATATTGAAATACAGTTAACATTTATGTTAAAAACAAATTTGTGATATGGTAATATATGTGCTTCCTTATTAACCCATCAAATACCGCTGTCTCGCGGGGGCCTGACGACTGCCACCACTGCCTGTAGTCAGGAACAGAAACGTTTTGAGCTATTTGCAACAACAGTAATAGGATATTGAAACATTGTAGTTTCTCTTGGTGACAAAGACAGAGGTACTATTAATACTTCTGTGTTTGTGGCTTACAGGTACAATAGAAGAAAATGTTAAAATTGGGCTAGAAGTTAGTGAGAATAGACACAATTCTTTTCTCTACCCAAGTTCATGGATCCTCTGAGTTCTGTTCATGAGCTCCTTGTGAGGCTGTGACCCAGGTTGAGAACCCCTGGTTGGGATGCTAGAGTTTCCATTGGTAGGCCGTATATTTCTTTCTTCATAGCTTTCTTTCTTTCTCTTTTTTGGTGAGGAAGATTGGCCCTGAGCTAACATCTGTGTCAATCTTCCTCTATTTTGTATGTTGGATGCCTCCACAGCATGGCTGGATGACTGGTATGTATCTTGGCGCCCAGGATCCGAACCTGCAAACCCTGGACCACTGAAGAAGAGCATGCCAACTTAACTGCTATGTCACCAGGCCGGCCCCACTTCCTATCTTAAATGAGTCAGAGTCAACTCTTGTTTAATCATTAGCAAGGAACTGACAATCAAGTGATGACATTTTGTCACACTCGGGCAGGAGCTTGAGGCCCCCAGACACACAGTCCCTTTCAATGAACTCATGGTGGAGCTGGAAGGGGCCTCAGACCCTCTCAGAGTCCAACTTACTCTATGACTGAAGGTGAACAATCTCCAGGGGACTACTCCAGGCCAGAGCTGACCTAGGCCCAGACGTCTGTCCCAGGGTTTGCTCTGTGCTTGAGAGAATGGCCTTTGCTCAACACACACACAGACACACACACAGAGCTGTACAGTCCTGGAAAATGGTGACACTGCATAAAATAAGGAGAGAAGCAGGGACCAGGCCCCAGTCACGAGGCGCAGACCTCTCATACAATCCCTGAACGGCGGTGGCCCCTTGCCCCCGCCTCACTCCCTCCATACGGTCCAAGTCCAGGAAAGCCTTGGCCGCACGCTCACTGGCTTTCTTCCCCCTCAAGGGCAGCGAGTACACTGCCAGCACTGGCACCGTTTTTTCCGCTTCCTCCCCTCTCCTCTCCCCTCCAACCTCCTCCCTTGGTCTCCTCCGGTTTCCACCTGCTTGCTTCAGGGCGGTCCTTTCCTTCCCACTCTGCTTTTCTGCACCGCATTTGTCGGCCAAAAAGTAACCCTAATCTGGCTCAAATGTGTCAAGAATACTGTTGAAATCCACCTACACAGGAACAGGAGAACTCCATGTTCTAGCGAGAAATTAGACCCAATAACCGTGAGCTACTGGTCCTGACGGGTGGAAGGCCGCGGCAGATGTTTGCTTAATTGAGTAATTGGGTAAAGAAGCCCCAAGGCTCCCCAAGGTCTCCTCGGAGATTCCCATCAAGTCACGTCCCTCCCTCGCCTTCCTCTTATTACACTGGCCTTTCCTCCAGCGCCACTGCTCCAGATAGATAAAGTGCTCTCCATCAACTGTTGGTTCTGTTTGCAACAGTCTTTCTTGCCACTGTTCTTCACGCCATTGTGTGGGAGAACTAGCTTTGCGTGTTGAGGGACGGAGCTGAGGGGGGACAGGGAGAGAATGGGAGGTGGGAGGAGACAGAGGCGCTAGCCTGAGAATCAGCTGTCTTGCCAGGTGACCCGTGTGGGGTGGGGCGGTCCGTGCAGGGCACCCAGAGCCCACAGGGCTGCTTCTGTGAGCTCCTCCAAGCGCCCAGCACGGTGCTGCCTTCTCCCCGGGTCCCTTCAGTTCCTGACAGGCGGGGGTGGTCTCTCAGTTTCCTGTTGTGTGCCTGGCTCAGTGTCACAGTGTACAGGTGGGCCATACAGACTTATTATTTTGATTCTCACCTCTCGAGAGAATTTTATGTTAAGGAGACAGGCTTGTCTTTTTATGATAGAAATCGCCAAGAGTTAGCAAACACTGCTATGTGCCGGGCATTGTGCTAAGCACTTCATGCATCATGTCACTGATTTCTCCACGTGCAGCCAGAGAGATCCTTTCAAAGTGTAGATCACATCCTGCTCCTCCCCTGCTCCAAACCCTCCAAGGGCTCCCATCACACCTGCACTCAGGCGCCCACCATGTCCTGCCAGGCTGGCAGGGCATGACCCCTGGCTCCTGCTCCAATGGCCTACCCTTCCCTCCCTTCCCTTGCTCACCACGCTCCTTGTTGCTCCTGGAACTGACCAAGAGGGCCCTGCCACACGGCCTTTGCACATGTTCTTCCCCCCAGGCTCTGCCCAGTTCACTCCTTCACTTTATCAGGCCTTCTCAACTTCCACCCCGTCTAAATACCACCCATTGTCACACTCTGTCCCCCTCCCTTGCCTTCCTTTTTAATCGCACTCACCACACCTAGCCTTTTTATTAAAATCTATTTGTTTATCTATTACCTCTCTCCCTGGCTAGAATCAAAGTTATGTGAGGGCGGGGACCTTGTTTTGCTCACTGATCTACTGCCAGCATCAAGAAGTTGCCTTTGATAGAGTGGTCATAAACAAACACAATCAATGAATTAATAAATGGACGCAGACTCACAAAGCCCCATGATGTTATTCTACAATCACCCCCCTGTTGCAGACAGGAACCTGAGGCTTAGGGACGTTAACACCATTCTCAGGGTCATGAAGCTGATGACCCATCTCGGATTAGAAGTCAACACGTACGTCTTTGGGATCTAGCTCTTGGGGGCTGTGCTGGTTCCTCTCTCTCTGTACTCACACACACCTGTCAACATTCCTATGTGGGAACCCTATCCCCCTGAGACATGCCAAGAAGAAAGCATTTTGTGTATCAATCTGTTTGGGAAATACTGCAAATTGCATTACCCTGCTTGGTGTTTGAAATGCTTGTTAGCATATGAAAGGCCCTGAAAAGTCCTGCAGTAAAAAAGCTGGTTGAACTTGTGTCATCAGTGTTTCCTAAAGCTTTGACTGTAGAAACCTTTTGTTTATTTATTTGGGTGTATAGCACCTATTAACACATTGCAGGATGGACCATGGGAAGTAAGAGCTTATATCCCTGTGGAGGGAAGTCAGATTGTCTGACAAACTATCTGGGGAGCTCTCTCTGGGCTGTCTGGCATAGGGGGGTCTGGGGCCAGGGCCTTCCCCTCCCAGCAGAAGGGACCATGCCCAAAGTCAGCCTCCCACAAGACTGGCATCTGAGGCCACGGTGTTGGCTCGCCCATGAATAAGGCCACTCATGCTCACCCATGAGACAGGAAGCAGCAGCGTGGCTCCCCGTACCTCTTAGCTGTACTCCAGCCCAAGCACACTTCTCTGCAGGGACCTGCATGCCGGCCCACCTTTTGCCCTTTGGTTCCTGTACTAAGCAACACCCGGTGTGCATCCTGAGCCTGTTACAGAGCACGGCCTTATGTGCATCTCTCAGGAACATCAACCCCACAAGCCTGACCTTGTTGTCTCAGTGTCTCATGTCTCCCTATTGGAATTTTAACCTTCCAGAGGACCAGAGACACTGCCTCACCCATTGTGTCCTCTCAGCCGCCAACTCTGAGCTGAGCCGACGGTACATGCCCAGAGAGTTCCTGTCGGCTCGAGTGTGAAGGAGTGGATGGTCCTGTATGTTGCATGGTTTAGAGCAGAGAGGGATAAATGGCAATGTTTAAATCCCTTAATCCATTACCAAAGCCCTTCCTGTGCTCCAAGCAGAACAGAAGGACGCGCCAGAGGCAGAGAGGACTACGGAGTGCAAGGCACAGAACTGACAGGATCGCTGTGTTCCTGGGAGCTGTAGAGCGACGGTCAAAGCCCCCGATGTGTTCCTTTTTATTGGTTTTGATGGTGATTTGATGTCATTAGGGATGCAGGTCTCATCTTCGTGTCTGAGATCATCTGAATAACACTGGTGACGGGGAAGGGAAGAGAGGAGACAGGCGTCCATAGGCAGCCTGGATCGGACCATATAAATCTGAGAGGAGGGAGGGGGCCGGAGAGCCTGGTCTTCCCAGCTGATGGCACCAAACTGAGCAGGAGGAAGCCAGTGGCAGTGGGGCCAGCAGTGTTTTGCCTTCACCCCAAATGACCATGAGAGGTGCCACACGAGTCTCACTCATGCTCCTCCTGGTGACTGTGTCCGACTGTGCCGTGATCACGGGGGTAAGTCCTCTCACATTCTCACCCTGGGTTTCTGGAGGGTGTCAGGGTCTGCACGGGCGGGGAGGCAGGAACCACACAGGAGGCAGAGCAGAAGGACAGAGCCGTTAGCCATCAGGCAGCACTTCCGAGAGGGGTCCCACACGATTGTCCCATTAGGTACACCCCACTCTGCTAAACAGGATCTGCTTTTGAGAAGCCGTCTGTGAATCAAATCCTGTTTTCAGTGCATTAGGAGGGCCCTGGAAATTTTGAAATTTAGCTCTTTGGTAAAATGACGACTGCTATTGTGTAGTAAGGAATTCCTTTACAAAGTGGATTAGCATCCCTTAATTTATCTGTGGTGTAGGTTTTGGTTTTTATATACGGTCTGGTCCACATGCAAAGTCTGATTTATGCAGCATGTTGACGTAGTTAAAGGCGGGGACCTTATTACTTCTACTGGGTATGTTTAACCTGCCCTTTGCCTACTCATGGGAATGGCCGTTGTGAATCTCTTTCTTCCCCTCGCTGTTAGTGTGTTTTCACTCTGTGCCCAGTTCTGATAGGAATATGGGTGACAGCCATATTTGGCTAAGTGTCCCCAAAAGTAGGCATCAGATAACAGGAGAAATCCAGCCTCACATCAGAGCTTCCGCCCACACAGGCACTGCGCACTTCAGTGTCTGAAACACTCAGAGTGTGGCCCTCTCTCAGAAGGGTGGCTTTACCTGGAACACCCCCAGACGGGGAAGAGGTCGTGTTATGGCGGTGGGACCAGTCTCATTAAAACAGAAAGTAACTCTTCACCTGAGAGGTTTCCAGACAAAAGCCACCAGAAAAAAAGAGAGAGAGGAATTCACTTTTATTTCAACCTCCTCCGACTTTTTACAGAGAGAATGGAAATGTAGAGAAATGCCAAACAATTCCTGGAATCGGGTTGTTTTTAATGTTCATAGAAAGGAAAACTGCTTTCTTCTCCTTTTTAGAGAAAAAAGACAGTTCAAAGAACAGATAGTAAAGGCAAGCCAATGCTTTCGAGACCCAGAGCGTAAATCAAATTGTTAGGGTGGAATTACACCTAATGAGCGTACCCCCTGGAGGCTGTCCTCCTGCTGTGCAGCGGGAAGATGACGGAGGGCAAGGCGAAGGAAAGAAGCTGGGGTACCCCACTGAGACGGGAGCAGCAGGTCAGCCCCAAAGCCCGGTTACCTCACCGCGTGAGCTCTGACATCTGGCCCAGAGACGGGGCAGGAAGCAGGTCTGAGAGAGACGGGAGAGCATCTTCTTGGAAAAGCCTTCAAGGGGCCCCTTTGAAAAGCACAGTGAGAGAGAAAGCCAGGGGACGAGGAATGCACGACAGGCGACCAATGTGACCAGCGGTTAGAACCGGGTGCAGCCTCCCTGCCCTCTCCACGCCCTGTGGGGCCCCGAGTGGGACTCTCAGGAAGAGCCGGGTTCTACCATCTCCCATCTCCGCACTCCCTTGCTCCCTGGACTGCGACCGTCCTGGGTGGTCCCTCCTCCCACAGTGGGATGGTGACGGCCCACCTCTTTGGAAGGAGAGTCACGTGGGGTCTGCTTGGGCCTAACTCGGAGCTTGCAGGGGCTGGTCGGTGTGTGAGATGTGCCCTCACAGGGCTAGAGACTGGCATGGCCAGGTGACTGCCACCTGCACCTCCTCTGAGTGACGAGCAGCCCTGGCATCCCCCACTTTCCCTCCTGGAGCCGAGCAGGTTGGGAGCTTCCAGTTCTGCCACGTCCCCCACAGGCAGCCGGAGGGGGCTCCACGGCCTCCTGTTGGAGAAGAAGAGCCAACCAAAACTCAGCTCCGAACTTCAGCTCCAAAAAGCCGCAAAGCTCCTCTGGAAGTGGAAAGTCTGGGTGCTTCTCCCTCATGGCCCGCCTTGAGTCTGGAGCAGTTCAGAGTTCTGTTTTCCTCAATCCAGGCTCCTGTTAAAAGCGGACTTGTGTGGCTTTCTTTACAAATGACGCCTTCCAGAAACCAGGCCACTCTGTCCCTGTTCTGGGAGCCCAACCCGCAGGATCCATCTCTATCTAGGGGTCAGGGAGGCCAGCAGAGAAGCCTGGGGGAGATACCTGTTCTCTGGGGTGCTGGCACCTCAGATGAGGCTGGGCTTCTGGTGAGGGCCAAGGGGGTGCCAGTGTGGGGAGGGGAGGCACCAACCCCAGGTGCAGTCTCAGGGCTGGAGAGTCCCTGCCCAGGGAAACCGCACTGATGCCTAGGGGCTGGGGCCGTCAGGGCCCCTCCCCCGTCTAGGAGTTCAAATTAATTCAGCTCCACCAGCATCCACTGAGCATCTACTGGCGCTAGGAAAGCTCTGTCTCCTACCCTCTAGACTTGTCAGAGGAGGAGGACGGCCTCCTTACTGAGCGGCCTCAGAGCAGCTAGGAGGGTTCCTCAGATCCAGGTCTGATGCCCCGCTGAGCTCTGAGCCTCCTGCCGCGAGAGGAGCAGGGGCAATAATGACGCACAGTCCAAGGCGTCCTGTGAGGCGCAGAGGTGGGGGTGGGGGCTGCTCTCAGCCGTCCCCAGCCCCCAGGGGCATTTTGGAGGGGCCCTTCCCTCTGGTTTCTCCCGGGGGCACTACCGGGCAGTAAGGCCCCCCTGTTTCCCCTGCAGGCCTGCGAGCGGGACGTCCAGTGCGGGCCGGGCACCTGCTGCGCCGTCAGCCTGTGGCTGCGTGGGCTGCGGATGTGCACGCCGCTGGGGCGGGAAGGAGACGACTGCCACCCCGGCAGCCACAAGGTACTGCAGGGACCTGCTCGGGGCACACAGCTAGCGAGGCAGAGCGGGGACTGGAACCGCAGTTTTCTGACTCCAGCTCTAGCCATATCGCACTGACGCCGGGCACTGCCTCCTAGCTTTCGGGGGCAGCCTGGGTTCGAGGGGGGTGCTAACCACACAGCCTGTACGATCTGGAGGCTGGGACCCCAGTTCCTCATTTGCTGAAGGGTCTTGGGCCATCAGCATAACCGCTGCGGACCAGTCACCTCACGTATACAATGAGTCACTTTCGGATCGGATAAACTCAGGTTTTGAAAGGGTCCTGAAGGTCCTTTGCTCCGTAAGAACCTTCCCTAAAGGACGGGAAATAAGACCTGCAAAACTGCCTTCCGTCCAGGGCCGGGCTAGGGCGAGGCCAGCCGGGCGTCTGGGCACACACCGTAAGGAGGCGCTCACTCCTCTCTGCTCTGGGCACCCAGCTCCCGCCCTGCGACCCCCGGACAGCCAGCTCCCAGGCGAGACGGCAAAGCTGGGCCACCGGGTTTTGCTTCTGAAGGGTCGGAAGAAGGCAGCAGCAGGGGCGGGGCCTGCGCGGGGCGGGACCCAGGCTTGCCAGCCCGCTTTCGGGGCTTCGTGTGGTTCAAGGGTCCTTCGTGTTCCTCTGGGACGTGCGCGCACCCGGGAGCCCCGGGTTCATCTGGGATCAGGGCATCCTCCAGTAGTCTCTCTCCCAATCATGGCCTACCTGTAGGACGAGGAGGCGCGGGGAGAGACGATGGGACAGCGCAGCAGTGCTTGTCCCTTGGGTGTGTGAGATGGTTTGGCTGCAGATCTGTATTCCTAAAGGGGACAACAGTGGTAATAAAGGCTAAAGCCGAGTGTTTACTACGTGCCACTCTTCGTACTAAGTGCCTTTTGTAAATACGTAGTTTAAACCTCTTTACAACCATATGAGGTACATTTTAAAGATAATAAAGTTGAGGCACAGAGAGGTTAAATAACTTGCCCATTGTCACACACCCGGGAAGTGGCAGACCAGGGATATGAACCCAGGCAATCTGACACTACCTATGCTCCTAACCACTAACTGCTTCGGTTCAACCCACCTTGCAGAAACCTCAGTGGTTCAGCACTCCTCTGGGTGTGAGTCACAGGGCAGAGACAGTGTCTGTCTGTCTAGCTGCATCTCCGGCACCCACCAGTGTTGAGCACATAATGGATGAGCTATAAGTGATGTTCAGTCAAGGAATGTGTGTGTGTGTTTGCGCGCATGCACGTGTGTGCTGCGTCAGTGAGGGGATCTGGAGGCAGTGTTGCGGGTTGTGGGGTTTTAGAGTTGGGGGTGAACAGCATCATGTTGTGGCTGATCACGTAGTCTCCATAGTCAGATTGCCTGGGTTCAAATCCTGGCTCCTCCATAGACTAGCTGTGTGATCTTGGCACATTGCTTAGCCACTCTGTGCCTCGGTTTCCTCCTCTGTAGTGGCTGTTATTGTGCTGGGGTGGGCTGATGAGACATTGGCCAGGGCTGGGCTGACCAGAGGCTCCTACCAGGAAGCCCACCTCCCTTTGGTGAGGGTGTCATCCTTCCTCTCTTCTCTCCCCAGATCCCCTTCTTCAGAAAACGCCAGCACCACACCTGTCCCTGCCTGCCCAACCTGCTGTGCGCCAGGGGCCCGGACGGCAGGTACCGCTGCTCCACCGACTTGAAGGGCATCAACTTTTAGGAGCTTGTCTGGTCTCAGGATACCCGCTGACCTCTTCCTGAGCACAGCTTGGGGAAGCCTCTTATGGACTTTTATTTCTGCCACGTGGCCCAGCTTCCCCTCCCACCCCCGCCCCCCGCTGCCCTCTCCCTGCTCCTCACACTGCCCACCTCAGTCCCTCCTTCCTAGCGCACATGTGCACGTGTGCAGACACATACCACCGGTGACACGGTCCGCCAGGCCGGCCTGAAGCTGAAGGTGTCCAGCTGGTGGCTGTGGTCCTGGAGGTAGCCTGACTGGCCCTCTCCGCTGCCCAGGCCACCTGAGGGGTGGAAAGAACAGGAAGGGGAGTCTTTTCCCTGGTCCCTGCGTCGCCCACCCTCCCTCTCCTCAGAGGTGACCTGTCTTCCCCGGACCCCCCCGCTTCCCTGCATGTGCTTCTCTGCCTGAACTGGACGTTCCGACACAGGTCCTGGCCGGAGCCTCGGCCCTTTTCGTGAGGCCCATGAGGGTCAACCTGTGAGGTGCTCCTCTTCCTTGGCCGACTAGCTCCTTGTTTGTAGGCCCCAGGCCCCAGGTCAGACCTTCCCAGAGCACAGTGGACAGTGACCTGGGGGCAGGTGTGGGGAGCCAGGGAAGTCAGTGGGCCTCCAGCGCCCGGTCCTGACCAGCCTGTGGCTGCCCACCAGGTCGGAATTGCAATGGCCCCAAGGCCCCTCCTAACACTTTACCAGTTAACCTGGGAAGCCCCCGATTCCCACAGCCTCCCCATTAAAATGCAAATAGTGGCAGTCAATCTAATCAGTATTGACATTTTAGGAGGCAATTAGGGAGTTACCTTAAACAGCTCCTTTCCCGGGATCAGGCCCTGAGAGCAGATCCTTGACTTTGAGGAGGACTGGCCTCTGCCCAGCTCCGGGAGGGGGTGCGATTTCCATCACAGGAAGGCAGCTACCACCCAGAGGTCACAGCCGGGCTGCACAGGCCCCACAGCCAGCCAGCGCCTTCCCAAGGGAGCAAGGGCTTCCTCAAGTTCACTAGTTTCTCTGGGGTTGTGTCACTGGCCTCCATCCTTGTTCAAAACACTGGCCCAGCCCATTCAGCACCTCACACCTGGACGCGGCCCGAGGCGCACCCGGGACCGCGTGGTGAGCCAGAAGCTGTGCACACCGACCTGCCAGTTGCAGAATAAAAGCATGAACAAGAGGCGAGTGGCTGTTGTGTTCCTGCTACACCTGTGTGGGCACTGCGGCAGGGGGTGGGGTTGGGTGGGGTCAGGGTGGGGATGGGGAGTGGGGGGATGGGCAGGACCGGACTGTGCCGGTGGAGGCGGGTTGAGACTGCTGTTCCTCCCAGCTAGGGCAATTTTCAGAAAAAGTGGATTCAGGGTCTCTTTAAAGGAAGGGTGAGAGGCAGCTCGGTGGGCTCCGGGCAGGGGCTGTGCAGCTCAGATGGGTCGGTAGATTGGAGGCAGGAAGGGGGCTGTGAGCTGGCATCTGGGTGGCATGATTCCACTGGGGAAATCTGGATGGGTTGTAACTCCCAGTTCTGCAATTTAGTCCCTTCTGCTTAGTGTCGAATACTTGATGCCACCAGGCCACTACGTGTGGGGTGAGAATGTCCATATCAAGGATGGCCTGGTGAGGCCCTGCTCCCTGTCTGAACCCAGGGCTGGGAGCTTCCTCTAAGGACCGGGCTGCTGGCCCCATGGCCCCTTCTCACCTCAATTCCTCCTCTAGAAAAATGCAAATGTAAGATGAAAGTACATTGTATACCCCTGTTTCTCAGAGGCCCAGGGGCTCCTGCCCTCCCTGAGGGGCTGTTCTGCACTTGCCCTTGAACCCAGCAGCGCCCTGCCTGGGCCCCTCACAGGGGTTGTTCTTTGTTTTTGGTTCCTTGGACAGACATCGTGGCTGCTCTGCTGACTTGTGCCTCTTCTTGCCGCCCACCAGTCTCTGTCTCCCCAAATTTCAGGCTCAGGTCCTGGATATGGAATTCCTTTCCATGTCCAGGATTCCAGTTTGTCCATCCTTGTCCCTTGGATCTCCAGGTCCCATGGGTTTCTCCAGGTCATGCCGTCCCCAGTCATGCTGGGCCCTGCCTGCAGCAGAGCCATGCTGGCTGAGGCAATACAGTTGCCTCAGCCCAGCAGAGAGGAAGATGGCTGCAGGCACGAGGACGCCCAGGCGTGGCGCACACTGACAGGCCACCCACCACTGCGTCTCTCCATCCCCGCCTGGGAGCTCGCCCTCTGCAGACCTGTCACTGGGCAGATCCACCCATTTAATCTAACCGGACCAGCCTTATTTTTTATATCAGAATTTTGAGGAACGTATAATTGGTTTCTGCCTCGGTTCCCTGCTGTTTTTGCTGAAGTCTGAAGAGCAGAGAGGGGAGGCTGGAAGGCTAAGAAAAGTATATTTGTGAGAATTCTTTAGATTCTTCATAAATATAGCTATAAAAAGAATCTACTTATAAGAATAGTATATCCATAATAAGACTGTATCCTAGAAGAATTAAATTGAATTAGGATTAGGTGAAACCCGACACTCTTTCAAGACCCAGGCTCCTTCCATGACGGCCTTTCCCTCCGCTTATTCAGGCCCAAGTCATCCCCCCAACTGGTGGAGTCTGGTGCCATCTAGTGGCTAAAGTGGGAATAGCAAGAAGAGCTGAAGTGGAAAAGATCGAGGCGTCAGAAAGACGCAACTTTCTCAAAGCAGATGGGGATCCTTTGCCAGATATCCACAAGTGTTAGACTCGATCAGAGGTTTAGAGGGACAATGCTCCCACCTGTGGGAAGAGGTCTGTCACTCTAAGGAGTACAGGAGAAACGCTTCGTTGCCCCTTTGGGCCCTGCCCCATCCTAGGTACATCTTTCTTAGAAGCAGCTGTCATCTTCTGGTGAGGCATCTCCTCTCACAGCTTCTCCAGGATTTAGGAAAGCAGGGTGGGGGTGGGGTGTCAGGATAGGACAATTGGATGGCCTTCCCCTCTATCTGTGTGCCCCAGGGCACAGCCCTGGAAGAGCTGCCTGTGCCCCCAGAGCTCCATTTTCTCTTCTGGTCATCTCGGTGCTCCCACCATCCCCCTAGTATCCTATTCTGAAACTCAAGGTCAGTCTAGACTTTTCCCCTCCTACTGTCCCTTCCCCCTGAACTCCACGTCAACTGGTCACCAAGCTCAATTTCTTTTACCTCGTAAACCTCTCTCAGGCCTGCCCCTTCTCCCTCCAGCCATGGCTGTGTCGTCCCGCCCAGCACAGTCTATGGCAACTGCTTCCAACCCATTCTCTCTGCCTCCAGTTTTCCCCTTAAAACCCACCCCTGCTAGTCTACCCATCATCTTTCTAGGCAGCACATTCACCCAGTTCATTCCCCATTGAAAATTCCCCACAGGCTTCTCAGCACCAGAGAAAGCCCAGACCTTGGCAGCCCTTGTGGTCTGGCCCTGTCCACCCTTTCTCTGCTTCTCCCACCCTCCCCACCAGGCTTCCTGGCCTCAGGATTGACTACAGTTTGTGGCAGATGCCACGTGTGTCTTTGGCTGGGCTGTTCCCTCTGTGAGGAAGGCTCTGCTCCTCCTCTCTTGTCTTCAACACACCCTCCAGGACCTACTCAAATGCAGGCCCCACCCCACCTGCATCCACAACACAAAACACCTGGGACAGAGCCCAGGCACCCAGGTGGCACTTGCTCTTAGAAAGCACCCATGCCTAGGTCAGCCTCCACCCGTGAGAGAAGGCAGGCCATGTCGGAGTCCTATTTGAGTCCTCAGGGTTGAATGGTGGGGGCCAGGGCTGGAGGAGCTGCACAGCCAGAGGATGGAGGCCTCAGCTGAGGGCAGACCACCAGCTTGTCCTCTTGGCGGCCTCACTTCCCCAGGACTGGGGCTCTCCTCCCGTGTCCAGCACAGACTCCAGGCTCCGGCCTCTCCCTGCCATGGCTCCAGATCCACCAGCTTCTCGTCTTCATCTTAGAAGCAGCTCAGAGTGCAGTTTAAAAGGTTGCCTTGAGCATGGATCCCTTTGCTATTTTCAGCCCAGTAAGCCCCTCGGCAGACTGAACCCCCAGAGGCTTGAGGCCCAGGGACCAAGAGGGACCCAGGCCTGCGGGTAGTGCAGGGGGTGAAGAAGGGAGGAGGAGGAAGAAGGCTCTGGGCTCAGCCCCACTGCCAGGTGCTGCTGGCCTCCCGCAGCCTCACAGCCCCTCAGGAGCAGATCCCTGCGTTCACTGGAGCCAAGGCCACTCTGTGACAGGGTTGGCCTCTGGGTTTGAGGGCCAAGATTCTTCTCAACACAGACCAAACCCAGGGCTGTACCAGTGTGCTGAGTACTTGACGAAGAATGTTGGTGAGCTGCCTGCCACCTGTGGCAGCCTCTCTTTAGACCCCAAGGTACACAAGGCAGTGGCCTCCTGTCCTCTGTGCGTGGCCTGTCACTGATGGCAGAAGGAGCTGGGGGAGGTGGCAGGTGTTCTGGGCTGGCCTGCCTGGCCCAGAGCCTCCCCACTGTTCAGGGTGGAGAGGCTGGACCAGGCGTCTGGCCTTCAGGAGCCAAGCCTGGGTTCGTGCTGTGGATGGACAAGATGGCCAGGCACCTCGGCAGATCTCTAAGGAGGGCCCAGAGAAGGTTGAGAAGTTTCTGGTCATCTGAAGTGGAACAGCAGTTTGATGTAGATTATTAACTAAGGGGTCCCTTTATTGCTTGGTAAATCAAGGGCTGTAAGCTACGGAGACTATGGTGTTTCTTCCTGTGTCTGGTGCCTGACATATAGACGTGCGCGATAAACATTGACTGGCTGGCTGACCGAATGAATGAAGCAGAAGCAGCAGCAGCATCACTTCCTAGGAGGAGATGGGCTGGTGTGGGTCGTGGGGCCTCTGGGACCTGGGGGTTCCATAGCTTCCGCCTGTCACAGTCTTCCTCCCATTGTCCCTGCAGCCCTGGGCTCGCTGTGCTCGGTCCTCTTTCAGTCTCTGTCTCCCCGCTGGGGGCCTCTGAGGTCCTGGAGATTGGAGAGAGCTGGAAAGGAAGCCCCAGTAGCCCTGAGACCAGGAAGGTGCAGTGGGACGGGGCTTCAGAAGGCAGGACAGGAGCGGGAGTGCACAGGAATGCTCTCTGCTTGTGAGCGAGAAAATCTTAAATTAGATAAATCTCGTTTAGTTTTCTTAGATGGACTTTCTAGGAGCAGAAACAACAAAAAAAAAATGGACCTGTCTGTCTAAGAGAATGGTAGCTGAAGGTCCGGCAGAGGAAGGGGCCTCAAGCCACCAGTGAATGCAGTGGAAATGCTGCCAGAGCCCTGGGATGGAACCGGGAGCCGAGCAGGGAGGCCTGAGGGAAGCTGGGGTGGGCTGGAAAGCCCATAGCCGTCCACCCAGGAGGTCTCCTGACGTCCTAACAGGCTGGAAGATTAGGTGAAGGCTGCTGCTCAGCCTTCTTTGCCCCGAATGTGTAACGGGGAACAAGAGAGAGTGAGATTGTGTAGTGGATAGAATTCTAGTTGGCTGACAACTGGGCAAGCACAAGGTGAGCGCACAGGGATCGCTGGCTCTCCTCCGCGCCTCCCTGTCTGAGGGACTCTGGCCACCAGGCTCTGGGGACAGTGAGCAAGGGTGAGACCCACGGGGGAAGCAGAAAGCCTCCCTTAGCCCAAGAGAAAGGTCAGCTCAGCAGAGGCGCCAGGGCTGGCGTTTGTCTCAGTTGAGTTTGCACAGCAAACACGCTGACTGACTTGACTGTGTGCTTGTCTAGGTGGCTGACTGGGTGGTGTTGAGGTGAGGCCAAGGCCCACAAGCCCCCAAGGGCCACACTTGGCATTCCTCCACCTTAAGATGCTTGACAGTGACAATCCCTGGATTCAAGAATTTGCTATTGGACAATCTGCCCTGTATCAGCTCTCAGACCAGCCCAAGAGTCAACTCTGGAGGATTTGGCTGGAGTGTACCAAAAATTGGATCCTACTGCGTGGGGACAGGAGCACAAGCTGGCCCCTGGCCCCAGGGGGGGTGCTGTCTGTCCGGGCATCTTCAGGGACACTCTTTCCGATGGGGAATTAGAAAGGAAAGTGAGGAACCAACTTTTCACAAACAGCTCTTCTCTGTCAACTGATAAATGCTTGAATAAAACATGCTCTATCCACACAATGGAATATTATTCAGTCATAAAAAAGAATA